TTGCTGTTTTGGACCCCATGAGCCATTTTAAATAAATAAATAAATAAATCTTAGATATACAGACTTGAATATATCATAACCCTTGGTTCAGGGCATAATCTTATCACTGGGTTATACACGTTTCATTTCATTCATTCATTTGTTCCTTCATTCCAACAGTCCCTAGAATGAGTAAACATGGAACTTGTTACAAGCGGGTTCATTAACTCAGCAAGGCTGCTCTTTGCTGGAGCTCTGGGCCTTGGGAATGGCTCAGGCCCTCGAGGAGAACTGCTTGGTTTGGATTTAGGCTCGGCACTTAACATGGGAAAATTATGTCACCTCTCATACCTCATTTTTCTCACTTGTCCAACTGGGGTCCAGCTGTCCCTACACTGTTATGCTGTTGAGAGCATTAAGGGCAATAGCTCAGGTCCAAGCATTCAGATCTGTGCCCAACATGCAATGCACCCTGGATTAGCCTTGGCTGCTGTCACTGGTGGGGAGAAGAAACCTCTTGCCACCTCTTGCTGCTTGCTGGTGATGCAGGAATTTGCCACCATACACCAGGAAGGAGTCGTGGTAGACCTGGAAGAGAGGATGTCTAGCTCCCATAAAGCTACCAGGGTTTCAGGGGCCACCTGGATCAAAGCTCAGGCTGCAAAGTCAGAGAACGCAGCCCTTCCCAGGATTGCTTTCTGATGATTCTTTTGGCAGCTTTTGGCCTTGACTTTTCTATATGGTCTAAACCAGTGTTTCTGAAACTCTGCACCCGAACCACCTGAAGGGCTGATTAAACCAGTTTTGAAGTTAGCAAGCTGAAGGGGATGCTGAGAATTAATGCTTTTTTTTTTTTTCTTGCAGTACTGGGGATTGAACGCAGGGCCTTCACACTGAGCTGCATCGTCAGTTCTGTTTTACTTATTTTGAAACAGAGTCTTTCTAGGTGTGTACGAGATTCTGGACTTGTATCAAGATTCCTGGTGCTGAGGCCACTGCCACTGGTCCAAGGACCACACTTTGAGAACCACTGGTCCAAACAAGTAACTGACAGGGGACAAAGGGAGGCCAGGGAGGGCTCATGGAGAACTTCTAAGCATGAGTGAGAACTTGCCCAGTGGAGAAGCTGTGTTTGGAGGGGAGCAGGTAATGGGGCCTGCACGTGGAGTCTCTGGGCCCTGAGGTGCTGGGCCGCAAACCAGGTGTGAGGTCTGGAAGAGATGAGATCAGTGCTGGCAGGCAGCATGGGTGGTGGCACAGGCAGGAGAATGAGTCGTGGTCGCAGACAAGCCTGTTGAGAACTTTACAGCGAGCGGAGAGGGAGGCAGTGCTGTTCCTCAGCCTGTCTTCCCTCCTTAACTCCTGGAGGATTTCTTCCAGGACACATAGCAAACCATGGGTTGACCCATTATTCTGAGAGGTCATGAGATGAAGTACTGGTTTGCAATTAGCAGTAGAAAAATTAATCAGAAGAGGATGGAATTAAAAATCCTAGTTCCCTGCACACGTGGGTATCATTTCATCAGGCTTGTCTGTTTTTCTGTGGGTCACAGCCCAAGGTTCTGAATCTAGGCTCTGTGCAGCCTCTAGCTCACCCACCCCATGTTGTGGGTGGCCTTTGTCCCCAGTGAATCTAGCTCAGGCCTTGCAGGCACAGCTATTCAGGCTCCTGCCCTAAGCACTGACCCCTAACCTGGGTCAGACAGGGTCCTGCGAGCTCCAGGTGAGGAGGGCAGAGGTAGAGAGTGAGCCGGGCTCTCAAGGGCCCCACAGAGGAGGGATTTATGGATAGGACTTGGACTTTGCAGCGTGGTTTGGACTCAGAGCCCAGGGAATTTGGGAAGCATAGGGGTGGTGACTCAGCCGGCCTTGCTGAAGCTCAGTGGGGGAGAAGACAACTCCATTTCAAAAAGTAATCTGAGGCCCAGCAGAGACAGAAAATCCAAAGAGATCCTGAGGAGGCTTTGAAGTATCAGTTCACAAACTTAAGTAACAGATGCAAAAGGTGAGGCCCATTTGCCCGCTACCTGCCTAGGACACAGACATGGGCTTTGAAGGTTTCTGGCTCTGTGTCCCTCAGGCAACCCCGAGACTGCCACATACCATCCCGGGGCTCGACACTGTAGTACCTTGGGGAACCTACAAACATCTTGAGTATACAGCAGGTGGACTGGGGGCCTGACCTATCTCCTCCTTCCCCTTCTAGGTAAGGACCCAGGACCACCAGCCCACTCCTTCGGTCTTGCCAACATTTCCCCAAGTCTTTAGCAACAATCTAGGCATCATGGTAATTGGGACTGCATTTGTCTTTTAAAAATGTTAGTTTCTCTTTTGTGTGGGCCAATCTCTTTTTAAGAAATTGTTACACATGGAACTGGATGTGCTGGTGCCGATCTGTAATCCCAGCACTCAGAAGGCTGAGGCAGGAGGCTCACCGTGAGTTCGAGGCCAGCCAGGGCTAGGTAGTGAGTTCAAAGTCAGCCTAAACTACATAGTGAGAACCTGTCTCAAACAAACAAACAAAATACAGCTACAAAGTGCTGCTTATTTCATTGTAACTTATAATCCAAATAAACATTAATTTTAACACCAAATCTTTTTATTCTTGATGGTCATGCAGGGAGGGAAAGGAAAGAACTCTTTAGGAAGGGGGTAGGTGATGGATAGGTTCGAAGTGGGAAGATTACCATATTTGACATTTGGATTGTAGGGAATTCTTAGAGCTGCAGAGAACTGGGATGAAGAGGAGGTTCACTAATCATCTGGGAGCCTGAGCTCCTGCTTCACCACTGCCTGGGTTTGATTTGGGCCCTCATCCTCTGTGTGGACCATTGTCTACCCAGCCTACAATTCGCCTAAGCCTGGGGACAGTGCGCGATGGAGGTGTGCACTGTGCAATCACGCACACGGGACTCACCCCTTCTGTCCTGAGACCCCATTCTGTGGGCGCCGTCTATTCCACACCTAAGGAACTGAGCTCCAGCTCCATGTTTGCTCGGGGTCTAACACGCAGAGGTGGGCCCAGCCCCGTGACCGCAGGCTCCGTCCAGGGCTCCTTCCCACCCACAGCCCCAAGACTCTGGAACCTGAGATTTGCCATCTGCGGCAGTGGCCAGGAAAGACTAACACTTTTCTACTAGCCTTTCACTGTATGTGTCTGATCAAGAATCCTAGCTACAGGGAATTTTCCACATTTAAGCAAGTTTCAGAAAGGCACACCCACACAAAAACACACGAAAAAGCCCATGTCACTTTTGTTGTCCTCTTCCCTTAAATTAATTTAATGCCACGGAGGCCTAATTTATTTTTTAATACAGTGCACACACAAGCCCACAAGGTCTTGAGCATTCCACGACACCATGGCTGATTGTGGTGCAATCCTGTCTGAACCCTCTTTTTATGCTGTGTACGTAAAGAACATCGAGAATCGCATCTTATTTCCTCTCACCCACCTTGATTGAGGCAGAAAAAGGATAAACAGCAAGTGCTGTTGCAAATATCTGTCCAAAGCGGTAATTATTGCATCATTATATTCGCTATTTTACTTGTCATGTACCATTAGAAGGTAACAAGATCATTGTCACTCAAAGATTGTGGAGATAATTAGAGCGTCTATAGGTTAGCAGGAAATCAAATTGGTGCTGGTACCCATCAATGCCGAGGCGCTGAACATAATTAGAGGGAAAATATGCAAAGGTTGAGATGAATAAAGCCCCAGGGATTAAATACTGTGACTGATTCGAGAGTGACTATCACGTCCTGACACTGCAGATGGTGACATCAAAATAGGTGTACAATAGGAGGCAGCGGGGCATGCCAGAAATAGCTCATCAAGCAGCCACTGGGGCTGTCTGTAAGGTCCCCGGCAGTGCTGGATTTGGAAAACACAGTGTTTATCATCTTTTCCAGCCCACTAGCTTTGCTTCCGTATTTTCTCCAGTCCAGGAGTCAGGTCTTAACGTATCAAGTGGTGCTGAGTGAACCGACCCTCATCAGTGCCCACGTTTCAGACCAGAGTCCCAGCACTTTCCACAGCAGAGCTGAGGGGCCTGGCCTTGTCCAGCACCCCCTCACAGATTCAGAGCCCCCCACTGGTGTCCAGGTCCCTTCCTCACGCCCACTCAGCAGCCTCCCAGAACCTGCTAGCCCTGATGCCTGTTGGCTTTTTCCTAGTAGGGTACAAACACCAATCCAAATAGCGATTCCATCGGTTTGATACAATAAAATTTAACCAAAATAACCCATTTTTTTAACATCTTAAAAAATAAAACAAAACAGATTTGAGAGGACAGGGAGAAATCTGCAAAGGGGTGAGGGATATGTCACCATAATTCAACGAGACACAGAAACGAAACACCTGGAACATAAACTGGTGAAGTCCACAGATTGAAAAGCGAGGGGCCCGGCAGGCGAGCGCTGTTGTCAGGACCCTGTGGCAGGTTTCAGGCCAGCGAAGTCAAAGCCAGCACTCCTGTTGCGAGTTTGGAAGCTGGCCGAGACACCAATGGCACTTTTTCGCTGGGCCCATACCCTACGTTTGTCTACTGCAAGACCTGCAGTACCTTCCCAGGACTTTTACAGTATTCTGTTGAGAACACACAAAAGAAAAAGCATCCAGAACCAGTTGCGGGGGTGCAAATGTCTACAGAAACTAACCCGAGTTGGGGACAGCAGGGCAGCCTGCAGGTCTCACAAGGGCGGGCCGGGTTCGAGGTGTTGCTTGCACAAATGTGGCTTCTTCCCTAAGCAATGATGGCCATCTCACACAGACAAGCAGCTGCAAGCTGGGTTCACATTTTTTAATAACATGGCACAGTTTACATAACACAAGAAGTCTCCGCCGATGAGAACATGCTGAAGATTCAGTTGCTTCACTTTTCTTTTCACATAGGATCTAGAAAGGACTTTATTACATACAGGGTTAACAGCAAAAAGGTCTGTATAGAACAATCTCTTTACAATACTGAAAGCTACACTACAGTTCCAGTGTACATATTCCTTGGATTTTTTTTTTAGTTGTCGTCTTAAAAAAAAAAAAAAAACACTGCACAACATCTGGTGTTCACAAAATCTGAAGCTCACAACTAAACCTTCAGTTTACTACTAAAATAGATCTCTCTGCTCATTAGAAACAATGGTCTGTAGTTAACTTTTTTTTTTTTTTTTTGCAAAAACAGGATAACAACGTCAGATAGCACTTTAATATACTAGAAGACCAAATGGAACTAATTTTATTTCATACATGTATTTTACAGTCCAGTAGACAAGATATATTGTATTTCTCTGCTAGTAAAGTCATATTCTCTCCAAATATGTAGACAAGAGGCTTAATGTATTATAAAAGTATTATGAAGAGACATTAAGATTGATGCAAACTCAAAAACACACACACATACAAGACTTTTTCTCGGCCACCTTTCGCCCTCTGTAATTCTCCATGGCTGCACTAGGCTGACCTGTCTCAGCAATTCCCAGAAATAAAGTCTACTACGGACTAACTGGATTACAGCGAGTCACACTGGGAAATGTACCCCTTAAATTCGCCAGTTAGCGATTACAGTGAAAACATATCCATCATCTGAGAAAACGTGAAGCTTTCTTTCAGGATCTGTTTGGGTGTCATGAACTCGTATTACAAAATGAGAAAGTGTGTACAGATATGAACTAGGACACAGAAAAAGGAATGGTTCCCGCATGAGGGGGGTGTGTGACATCAGGTGACTGGCGGTGAGGCGATTCTGCGGTCTGCTCCTGACCTGTACCACCACCGCCCCCTGCTTTTGGCATCTGACAAGCCCCATCCTGCCCGGCACTGGGTGCTCCTGTCCTGTTACCTTCCCAGGGGGCACCCCCCCACCACCCCAAGCCCACAAGCAGCAACTTCAGATGCAAAGTTCCAGCCTGGGGTCCGAGCTGCAAAGTATGGTGTTTCTCTATTTGAAACAAAAACAAAAACAAACAAAAAACACAAGCAAGGAAAACAGAGTCGTATCACGTAAGCGCTTGTTTAGGGAAAATATGACCTTAAGTATGTTGTAAATGGATCTGAAAAGGCTCCTTTGAGTTAGGCGGGCTTTTGTGAAAAGCCCTAACATTCATTGCATAGTTGAAGGGTTCAGCTGTCTATAACAATATACGGGAACACGGCCTTAGCGGACTGTGCTCACTGATACCAGGTTTGCTAATAGCACATTTTAAGAAGTATTAATGTATTATGTTACTTAATCTTTATCTATTTACATTTGTACAAAGTAAAGCTTTCATCTTACCCTTTTGCATATATGAACCATCAGCTCATGAAGCAATCTTTTTTACACGCTATGTACACACGGCCTTCCCTTCCCATCTGAACGAGCTCTGCGCTACAGATCGTGTGGGTGCCCCCACCCCCCAAATGTCATCCGACTGGTGTGTGTTGTCCTCTTCACTGTTTCGGTTCAAATCAAAAAGTTTTATAGAAGGAACAAAAAAGAGACATGAGGACATACGAGTTGGCTAAAGGATCTGAAAAATTTCAACGTATAATATACAAAAACATTTCAAAATCTGCGCGGAGTCTGTACACTGTACAGGGGCGGAAGTGGGGCTGTTCACCCGCAGTCTTGGGGAGGCGGGGTTCCGCCCAGTCGCTCGCTTCCTCGCCCCACATCCAGGCTTTCCTGTCCCCTTCACCGGGCTTCGATGTCCTTGAGCGTGTGTGAGGGGGGCCTCTCCCGGATCTCCGCGGACAGCGGGGTAGTCCTGCGTGGGGACCCCGGGCGGCCCCCCAGAGTGGAGATGAGCGGCGGGGGCGCGCTCAGGGCCGCCGTGGGTGGGGTCTTATTGAGCAGCCCGTTCTGGTGGCCGGCAGTGGGGCTGATCCTGGGGTAGTGCATGCTGGGGAGACCCGGCGCCAGCAGGCCGGTCCCTGGTTTTGACTTCATCTGGTTATCCGTTATATAGGTGAGGAATAGCATAGAGTCATTTTGGGTCGCTGTCCACTGACCTTCCTGGGGCCTCACTTTCTGTTGATTACCTGCTTCCTGCAAGGTCTGCTGCTCAGCTTTCCTGAACTGTTATCTCACATATCAGTGTTCCCTCCCTAGGATACTGATCCACCATATCAAAATTCAGAGAGGACTAATGAAGAAGTACAAACTCCCAGTTGTTAATTTTTAGCTAGAAACAACTACAATAGTCAGAGAACTGATCATATATTCACATAGGGTGCCTCATTACTGGGGGAAAATCCACAGACTTTGCA